TTCCATCAGGGTGATGCTTCACACTCTTGACACAGGCGAAGCCCGGAGGGCATTTTGCGATGATCCCGGTCCAAGATGAACCTCGAGCAGAGTCTTTGCACTTTCTTGTCTCATTCTTCTTTGCGTCGCCAAGCTTCACATAAGATCTTTTCATCATCCTCGTATTACTGGATGAAGTTCGAACGGTGTCACTTGAACAGTGATAACAAAATATGCCTTCTGAGGAACCTTTAGAAAATGCATCCTCGTTCCAAGTTTCTAAAAAAAAAAAAAAACAGGAAACACGAAAATACCAACAGAGGCATTGTTTATGAATTCGTTTCTGAAACTCACCATATTCGTCATAATCTTCGTCATTTGGTAATAAATGAGCAGAATGCACGGCTGCACTCAAATAAACCAGGAGACAAAACAAAATTCTAAATTTGAACATATTTGAGTGCATGAATAGTTCACGAGAACTGGGAAGCATTCATCTCCAGCTGAGAAAAGACACACTGCTGCTCTTTTATCTTGACCACTATAGTAGGCTCACATTTTTGTGGACATTTGTTGTGTTATCATATTTTTGGGAGACCGAAAAAAAATCTTGCTGTATATATTAGTTTCACAAAAATTCTTGGTGCATGTATCGCAGCAACAGGACACCACAGATTCAGTAATTTATGCTGGATTTAAGTATTTTCTCAGCATAAATTTTAGTATGCAAATTATCCAGGGAATTCCAATGATGTACCACAAACTCTTCAAAAGCAATTGCTGTTTAATGTTTAGAGTCTTTAAACAATCAAAATTGTTTGTCTTACATTCTGCATTATGAACAAAAATACTTTTAAACTTCTTGCTGGCTTGCTTGTATAAGTCTTTACCTTAAAATGATATAATTTTATTCCCTCATAACCATGATATATAAGCAGAATGAAATTTTACCAAAATGTTCATAGATGATAATATGTCTTTCAGGGAGTGCTCTAATAATTGTGAAGCTCAAAATTGTAATTACGCATGAAAAAATTGAAATCAGCTCTATGACATCCTGAATGAGAAATAAAATACTGTATATATAATGTATATTGCCACTGCTGGCAGTTTTATTGATCACAGCCAGAATCAAGCTTGTTCTTTGATTGCATCACTCAAATCACAACCATGAAAACAAATGCACCAAAGCACACAAATTGGGTTTGTCCCATGAAGGATGCTGACCACTTCAAGCAGTCATTTCTGGTGAGTTATTATAGACCTCAGCAATGTGCTCCAGAATTCTTCTGAAAGACTCAGATGGAGAAAACCAAAACTTTTTGTTGTACATGTATTGCACCACAAAAACATAGTAGTCCCAGGCAGACAGCAACTCAGGAACATTGGCCCTCATCTCATCCCTCACTTTGTCAACATGCTCCACACTCACTTTCCTGTCCTCAGTAGATGCCACTGCTGTGCCTTGTGGCATAAAGGTCTGAGGCAAATACTGGGTCCTGTCACCTCCATGGTACAGACTAAGGGGATGGTACACTATAGAGCCCTCTCTGACTCGTTGGTGCATTGCAAAGTCCACCAGGGTTTTATTGATGATTGAGGATGGGAGGACAAAGCAGCGCCAAGAGCCAACTTCAGCCCCAATGATGGCAAAGTTGTCCTTGACCAGCTGGTTCTTCCCCACTACAGCAACCTCTACCTTCTTGCCTTTGCCTCCGATTTTGAACTGGGGACAAGCTTGGTGTTGATGCGTTTCATAGTGTTTTGTTGGAACATCGAGGTACAGCTCATCTTTGCACAAAGCAAGTGCCTGTTGCATGAAAAGAATAGTTGCAGAGCATAAGAATGCATTTCTGAGTAACTCAACTAGTGAGAATCAATGTGGAGAGGGTGGTTAGCATGAGCTGTCAAGAGATGTTATAATTTAGCTGACAAAACTTGAATAGAATATATTTCTCTGCACAAAAACTGGTTGTGGTCCCATAGGATTCTCCCATGTTATAGGACTTATCTGCAACAAACCTCTACAATGCATTTTTCCATGGTCCCCTTGAGATTCATTGTAGAGTCCACCTGTATGATATCAATTCATGCACTGCAATGCTGTTCATATAGATTTTTAAATTTCAAAGTTAGTGTTTGATCCAGTGTATATCATCTAAACACTTTTTTTCATACACAATTTATGTTTGTACAATTTTTTTATTCACTCCTTCTGCATAAAATCCTGGATCGTTTAAATGTGGGTCCAAGATGACAGAAGTAAACAAGCCTAGACTCAGGATGTGGAGTCTCTAAGTTTTTAACCCTTGGACGGCAAAGGGTTCTTTCCCATGGCCAGCCGAAATCAGATTATTCTTGTATGCTAAGGCGTTTTAATTTTTCTGAAGGTCAGAAAAGACCTTCCAGGTGGGCTGAGGCAAAGTCGGGATTAATCCAAGAAAAGCCCATTGCTTAGCATAGCAATTTTTTCATTTTCCCACAAAATTTTTCTGGACAAAAAGAAAAAAACGTTGGATGTTTCCACAACTTTGTCCTCAATTCCCTGTTGTCCTTTTTTATTTTCTGCCCTGAGGTGCAACAAAATTTCGCGAAAATAGTCTGACTTTGCCGCCCAAGGGTTAAAGGAACATTTGAATCCTTTGATCAACCAAAAATTGATTTAAATAAAAAACTGCTGGTGGAAATGAACCCACCACCACCACCATCAAAGGGTTGCAGAAAAAAATGGCAGCTGATCATGGGTTTTTAAATCAAGAGGTTTGCTGCAATGCTGCTTAAGAGCTGTAGAAAGTCAAATGCTCAGGGCCCCACTTGGCATATTAAAATCATACAATTTGAATTATGTTGATGGCTCATTAACTGTAGAATACCTTTTCAGAGAACTTCACACATTTAGCATAAGCAGCTCTTGCAATGGAGGGAGACACCTGGATCCTGGATGCAGCCTGGGGATATGTGTAGCCCACAGCCCAATAAAACAAGATGGCAATGGAAGCCCAGGGGTCCAGTTCACACTCTTCAAACCAAGTCCCTGCCAGGGGGTCACAAGTTGACTGACAGTTGGGGCAATAGCCAACACAGGTGTTATCTTTGATCTTTGTGGACAGCTCCAACTTGGTATTGCAATTGGAGCAAGCTTGTGCCACCAAACCTCGATCTTGGCACCATTGATACCCTTTCTCCAACATTTCTGGTTTGAACTGGTCTTTCAGTGACATAATTTCTTCCTCAAATGGTGCCAGTTCCTGAAATAAAAGTAATGTATTCTTAACAAACCAAAACTGAATTCAACTCTTGAATAATATGCATAAAAATATAAGAAAAAATTGAAATACTGTCCAATTATTACATTAGTTTTTTGCAGCATTTCTACATCAAAGAATCACTAATCTGAATTACACACAACTTTTTCAGTTTTCAAGTGCAATGCTGTGTTTGGAAAGCCATTCACCATCTTCTCTGTCAATGACTCATCATTTATTCACCTAAATTTATTGAATCAGAGCCATCAATTTTCAAAACACACATACCACATTCATCCACATAAACCATGCACCCTCAAGTAATTTTGATTAAATACTATGCCTGAGCCAGATGAGCACTCCATTGCCAGAAAAGGAACACCCAAATATATACTAAATTGCTATTTTTTCCATGAACATAATTTTTCATACTAAAATTTGTCCATAATTTCCAAAATTATGGACAACATCAAAACATTCTGAAACTTTATGAAACATTCATACCTGCTGGGTATGACACACACCCCTCTCCTTTCCTCTCAATTTTGAAAAAAAAAAATGGCGCATCTGGTACATGAAAGAATACAGTGCATATACAAGTGACTTGGGACTAAAAACATGACTTCACTTTCAATTCATGCAAATATAGAAAATATACTATACATGACCCCCAGCTTCCCTGGCCAATGATTAGAAGATTCAAACTGAAAATAAAAATTCTGTGAACATCAAGTAATAAAAGAATTTTTGAAATTTAATTATCAAAATTGTAAAATGGGTATCGAGGCTATTATACAAATACTTTCAAAGAGATCAAAAATGCATAATAACTCACCAGATTCAGCATAAGTGAGATAAAACCCTATAAATCCTCGGATGAGGCCTATAATTCTTCCCAACGAATTTTTCCGCCATGCATTCAGTCCTTTTCATATAAGATTTTATCAGAAGAATAAAGAAGACGAGATAGACACAGCAGAAATAACGACAGGATGGAGTATATGCACATGGATATTTTTGTATACTTCCGGCCTCGTCCCAATATACACATTTCAAAGCCGGAAGTACTTGGCAATATGGTTGACCATGATGCGGAAGTGGTCATAGGTGCAGTCCTCGTGCTGCCTGGCCCACACAGCCTGCGACACATACACCGACAGCATGTCCTCAGGCACAGGCTCTCTCCTGCCACCCAAAACCTGCGCCATCTTCTCTCTCAAGGCCGGCAGCACAAAAAGCTTGCTCTGATTCTGATTCCCCTGAGCCAGCACGATACTAGTGCCTTCCCTCAACTTCTTGGTCAGCACTTGCTGAACAGCTCGTGCACTTTTAGCCCTGGTCGGCACAGCCAAGGCCCTGCCAGAGTCTCTGTCCACGCAAAGCAGCACGAATTTGTCAGCCAACAACAGGTCCTTGTCCACGACATCCACCTCCACCACTTGTCCGGGGCCACCCAGACGAAACAGAGGACACGCCACGTGGTCGTGGTGGGTGTAGTGGTCCTTGCCCAGGGGTTGCTGTTCCCCGGGGGGTTCGCAAGTGCGCAGCGCCATGTCAGACACGTCGCGACACCGCTTGTACCACGCGAGGGTGGTGTCGAGGGGCAAGTCGAGGGTGCGGGACGCCACGTGGGGGCCGTGGCACGTGGCCCAGTGAAACGGGATCCCGAGGGCCTTCCAGATCTCGACGGGGGCAGCGTCGAACCAGGTGCCGTCGAGGACGTGGATTTTGCCAGAGCAGTGGGAGCAGTGGAACTGGCCGCCAGAGACGCAATCCTGACTCACCCTGATGATGATGGGGGGTGTCACATCATATTTAATGTTTAAGTTCCTTTCTCCTACAATGCTTCAGAAAATCAGAACCCACACAGGGATGGGCCACAAAGCCTGATGTTATACTGTATTGGGGTTCTGTCTCTCCACGTTCTACTGAATAATCCACACAAACTAAGCACTGTATACTAGTGTTACCCAACCTTTTTGGGCCCATGGACCAGCAAATTTCCAAATTTTTATGTGGGCCAGAAAATTAAAAAAAATGTTTTTGCTGACTCTAAAAAGTTCTGTATGAAAGACTTTATGGCATGCTTTCAAAACGTTTCTGCTTTTTTGCAAAAGATATGCCAAGATTGGGCTTGAAGAAAGGTTTCTCAATAAGACTGAAAAATTAACCTTTGTGCAGCAAAGTTGGGTTACTCTTGCTAAATTGTGTGCACATGAGCACTGACAATGAAAAAAAAAAATCAATTTTCGCAACAAAGTTTAGGTTGGGAAAAAGTCCCAGGGAGGGGTGGGAATAATGTTTTATAATCCTGAAGAAAATTTGCCTAAAAAAAACTATCACTTGTTGGCTTTCTTTTCAAGAATTCCCCGCGCATAGGATTATCATTAGAGATTTTGGAATACAGAAGGATTCACCTATCCTGAATTTTTCCCAACTTAGGCCTTCCCAACTTGTAGACATTTCACTGACCTCTGGTAAAACTAGGATGGCCTGGAACCCTCTGCCATCCAATGGTTCAAAAATATTTCTCCCAGCAGGTGAAAATTTGTCTGAATTATTTTTAGGAAAAAAAAAACAACTTTGGTTGTTTGATTTTGACCCTATAAATGCAGATCATTTGACTCATTTTTCATCTGAAGAAAAATAAAATCTCAACCTCTGATAATAATTATTGTGGGACGACTCAGACATCAGAATGGAACCCTATTCACAGAGCAAAATAACCTGATTTCTTGCTTTATTTTGAGGAAATAATTAATAGTAGCATTTTTTTTCACCTATATAGAAAGAGTTTGCCTGATAATATTTTTCCTGCTGAAAAATTCCTCCACCAAAAAGTACTCAGCTTATCACATGACATTATATGAAATTACCAGCCAAAAATTTCCCCAATATTTCCGGACCTATATACTTCACCCGTAGAGAGACAGACCAGTGCATCTGCATGAATAACATAATATTATCCATGCATGAATCTACGCTGTCATGCAGGTGGCAAGATGGAATTGTAACTTGCTTAGAATCGCAATAGGGGCATTTGGAGCGAAGCAAGCCTCGCATCTGACACCAGGAAAAGGTAGCTTTTGGCTCAGATTTGAAGTCATCCACCAGGCTGAGGTATTCGCTTTTAGAAATAACTTCTTCCTCAAAGTCTTCATTGGGTGGCTCAGCAGGTGGCACAGCATCATCGTCATCAGTCTCTGACTCAGAGAGCTCGTCTTCGGGGTCAAACTGAACGGTTTCCATGATGCAGATGATGGAAGAGTAGAAGGGAAAGAAAAGAAGAGGAAAGAGAAGCAATGTATACTGCATCACACAAGCCAGTTCTTGCTCACTTGATTAATTTCAAACTTGAGCTTTTCGGTTCATCAATAAAAAAATTCATTCACTCATATTTGATAATTTTCATTATGAAATATTCCTGCTGCTGCCATCAGTTACCTCTCCCTTGCATTCAGTGATCCAAGGATATTGAAATTATTTTACAGCATGATGAAAATAATATGCCTGAAATTTAAAATTGGATTTCCACCTAAAATTAAGTTTAAACCTACACTTTGTGCGTCCTGCATAGTTCAGCTCATTATATGAAAATACATGTTGCATGATGGGTACAATGGGTTGATTTGAATTAACATGCACATAGCAATTCAAATTTTGAAAAAATTAATTAATTAACAAAAAAACTAATTATTTTTTAAAAGCAAGAACTGCAGTTAAATTTGTTTTCTTTTTTCTCTGGGTTCCAAGAATATAAATTCCTGTATAAATTTTAATCATAGAGTGCGGAGTGGCAAAATTAGGGAGGTTTCCCTTGAATTGCTCTTGAAGGATTCAGAGAGGGACTAAACAGCATTCTGACAAGAGGTTTTTGAAAGAAGGATTGAGTATAACTTCAAGCTGCAAATTTTTGAATGTTTATTCATGTCTGAGTTTATTTTTTAGGGTGCTCTTTCTTCTTTTTCTTATTTTCTCAATAAATTAATTACTTCAGTCAAGCAAAGTTTACAGATCAATGTCTGTAAACAGACTGAAGTAAGTAGAGATTCCTGGATATGATTTTTGTTGCAGTCAAAATGTCAAATACACCTGTATATCTGTTAGACAAGCGAAAAATCTTCAATAAAATTTGAATGAAAATTATTTCAGGCCAAGTGTATGACACAGAAGGTAACTGACATGCAGCAGCAGGCATTCACTATACACAACTATGCAAGAACTGGCTTCTCATAATGTGTGCAGCAAAAGAGAGGCAATGTGGCAGCATGCATGTGATGCATGATGTGATCCTTGTGTTTTCTCAAATTATCATACACAGCATCAACTCTTCATACGTATACATATATGAGGTTCGTGTGGATTTAGCAATAGGTCCTTTTAATTAAGATAGGTAGTTAAAAGATAAGCTTGATGGTTGATTAGTGATTGATGCCTCACCTTATCATGTCCTCCAAACATGGGCTTGAACTTGTCAACAACTTGAGACTTGAGCAAAATTTGGGCATACGGAGCTCCACTGCCCAGTGCAGCAAGTGTGCCAAACAACAATGAGCCCCACAGCAAGTACCAGTGCCAAGAGGCACCATCATCTCTGAGCCCAAAATCCTATGAAAGGAGAGAATTTTCAAAGTAATTGAGTATTTTCAGGTTTCCTATTCCAAAGCTTGAAAATACAGTATCAATACAGTATATTTATTTACATTCCTTGCTGCTGTCCAAGATAAGGGAACAGCTGAAACCCTCTAATTCAAGAGGGGGGGGGGGGGGTACAGTCAACCCATGGTTAATGTTCCATTTGCTGAACATTTTTTCACTCAACATTCCTGGTCCAGTGAGAAAAATCCCCTAGCTTAATGGTCCAAAATCCGCTTAACGTTCTGCAGTTGTGCAGCACCAGGTGATCAATGTGGATGCCTCCCTCCCTCCCTCCTGTACATTTTCTTGAATGTGACTTTTTCCACAGCTTTAAATGTGTTTTCTGTGCAGTGGTGTGGTGTTACAATTATTTTATGAACAATTGCAGTGTCACACTGAATTTTGGGTAACACTTAGACCTTTCCTTGTTTAAAATGAATCTCTGATTTTAATTGAATGAATAACTGGTTACTTTTTGAATGTAATGGCAGGGCATAAAGCTCAGTTGTTGGAATACACTCTTTCATTAATTTTTTCTGAATTTTACCTATAGAAAATTTTGCTGGACACCAATTAAACGTTTCTCCTTATATCTTAAGGGAGAGACTACCTTGCTTAACATTTTTTTCAGCTAACATTTTTTCCCACTGCACCAACTAAAAACGTTAAGCAAGGGTTGACTGCATTGTATTTCCCACCCTCTCTGTTTTGGGATACACTATTTCCAATATGTTGAGGTTCTACTGAAGCTTACCAGCAGTTGAATGTATTTCAGATTTCTGTAAAAATTATGAATTAACTTAAACTAGTTTCTTGACTGAACGGATCCGTAAACTAAGTTTAGTACAATACAGTACTTACAAGTCTCTGCCAGCTAGTCTGCTCAAAATCTTTAGGGCTACAAAGTTTATCCAGAAAAAGGGAAGACAGAAGAAACATTAAGTTAAGTTCCTGTGAGACAGTGTACAATCTGAATAAAATCCACATTTATTCATTGAAGAAGCTCTGGGTAAAAAAAAAAAATCTCCACATGAACTTTCAATGACACTGCTTATGGGTTTCTCTTTAGGAATTGACAAAAGGTGGAAAACATCTCTTTTATAAATTCAAAGATTATCAACCTGGCAGATACTGAAACAGCAGGTGAACACTCTGCCATGAAATCCAGGGAACCAGAAAAGAATTTCTCAAAAAGAGAATTTCGTTTGTGGAACTACAAAAAATGTTTTACAGAAAAAAAGTGTCACATACAATATATTGTGGTTGTAGAGATGAGCGCACCTTCCTTTCATCTGGTCAAATCTATATACAGTACAGTCCACCCCCGTTAAACCGCCCCCCGATAAACCGCCACCCTCTGATCCCGCCAACTTTTCCTCCCAAACAAATTTCTTTAACTTTGAAGCCAATGGAGACCCCCGTTAAACCGCCAACCGCCATCCGCCAACATTTTTTTCATAACAAACTGGATCTTTGTATTGTTTTTTACCCCGTTAAACCGCCAATGTTTTTTCCTCCCTCGAAGGGTCTCCTCTTCCAAATCATATGCTCCAAAATTTATTTTTTCTTAAATTAAACTTCTTGAAGATTATTGTCTCCTTATCCCAAATTTACATAAACTATTCACCAGCAGAAACTGGTTCCATGGTGCCTTCATCCATTCTCCCTCTCCCAAAAACTTTTCATTTTGTGTTTCTTGGGGACATCCATCTCACATTCCATATACTGTATCATGAATTAAAATAAGGAATTATTTTTCTCTGTGTTCTCGCCTCGCCGATCGTCGCGTCGCGGCGGCCTTCCTCGTCACCCGTCGACCTCGCATGCCCGGTCTCGGGTCACTGTCGCTGCCGCACGAGTCCCCGTCACACTGCTCCTCCGCCTGTTCGCGACAAATATCAATTAGCTCACAGCAAGGGATGAATATTATTATTGTCGATTCCACATGCTAATACTTATATTCCCTCATTGTTCACTCATCAAATAAAAAATGCCATAAATTATGGGTTTTATTCGCACTGCAAGGGGCATTAATCTAGTGAATACAGTCTACCCTCCATTCAAGTGCCACCCTTGCATGGCACCACATATCTTGTGGGTACAAATCAATCTCCATTGAGTTTTTAAGGAAAATTTGGATTTACTGCCAGCGCACTCAAGTGTCAGAACGAAGCTCTGAAATGTTAAAAAATGGAGCTAAATCATGTAAATTGAGACATTGATGCACAATTATATCCTTAAAAGAAATTCAAGCATATTATTGGGTTATAAATGAGAATCATATTCCCACAATTACATAAAAGAAACTCCGGATAATTTTGAAAATGTTCTTTTTGCATTTGCATTGTTGCAAAATATTTTCTTGATGCTGACATCTTCCTCCACTTGAAATTGAATTGGAATTTTCCATGAAAACATCTAAGATTCCTTCATGATGGCAGCACTTGATATAAAACTCCAATGCACACAAAATCTTGAGAAACAGGTCTGTTCTTTTACTGTAGACATAATGTTTACATATACAGTATCTAATATATTTTGTCTGCATAAATATCTTTGAGCACAATGTAAAACCAGCAAATTCCAACATGAAATTGTTTCTTGTGGCTTTATCTTCTATAAAAAACTTTACTGGCCTAAAAATTCTGCGAACAAGCTTATTTTTTGTACGATGGAAACCCTCAACTGAACTTATAAAACAGTACCTTAGAGGCCTAGATTTATTGCAACCCTTGCTAAGTGCAACAAAATGCACCAGGACAAATGGTGTCATTAAATTGTAGTTTGACAGTATAGTATATAGGTGAGCAGCACTTTCAGAATGCACAAAATTTATTAAGAATCTTACCAGGAAGAATGTCGCTCAGTAGAAAGATTGCCATCATTTGGGCATAAATAAATCAGTTTTTAATCAGGAAAGTTATTTCGCATGAACTATATATTCCCCATTAACTAAACATTCTACAGTACCAAGGTAAAAAAAAAAATTAAAGAAAAAGGGGGAAGACACGCAAATACGTACGTTTTACAGAGGTGTGAAAACGGGAATAGTATTGGTGTTCGAAAGAATTACACGAAAAGCTGATCAAATGTTTGAATTTACTTGAATCGACTTTATCATTAGTCTGTTGAATACAGTATTATGAAATTCAAATCACTATTACCTATAACTGGAATATACCAAAAATTTCAAACGTGAAACTCATTTAGGACACGGTTAATTCAAGTGCTTAAGTAAATGTCTAAATATATATATTCGGCGTTGGAAGGAGAGCATCATTTCAAGGAGGAAAAGTTCGACGAATAGGAAACTTAATTCTCTTCGTTATATGGCCATCTTTTAAAAGATGTAGAGTCTAAAATACTGAAAAAAGGAGAGCTTCACCTGATCCATGGAGTTGTAATCCTCATCGTCGTCGTCATCATTGTTATCGTCGAAAGGGGAGTAGAGCCGCGAAGACGAGCCACCAAACAGCGAAATCTAAAGTTGAGTAAACAATTTTGAAGATCGCATTTCAGCTTCAAAAATTCCATGGAGAAACGTAGCGTGAGTTAAGCTCCATGTACAAATTTTGCCCGTACTTCACCGACTTTAAAAGCGCATGATTCCATGATAAAGCTGTGATATACGCAAACACAAAATACTTGATTAAAATATTTTCAGACGACCTTTTATGCCTTGAAAATTGACTTAGTCTTCTGATCCTGTTTCAAGTCATGAAATTAGTATATTTATATCTTCTGTGTGAAAATTGTGCTTTGGAGGCGGGAGTATATTGGTTTTTTTGGATCACAAATAATTCAATTAAAAAGCATATCAGAAAACCTCATGTGGAAGATCAAGCAACCTTCTGAATTCATTTGGTTCCAATTCTTGCTCAACTAGAGGGAATTAAGGTGCAACTTCTCAAAAATATTCCTATTTCTGGAAATAAAATAGATTGAACTATAAAATGTGGTGAATATTTAAGCTCAAGCGTTCATCCTTGAATTTGAGTCTCCTATGTACAGTAATGTGTTGAATCAGATCCGTGATATTCAGATAAAAATTCACACCGAAAGAATTGTCAGGTAGATGTCACTCGTGGTCATATCCGATTTTCTGAAATTTTCAATTCGAAATTTGGGAGACGAACATAGACAGCAGCGATTTAACAAGAAAATTAATCAGAGATCAACCCTCAGGATCTTAACGTTTATAGATATTAATCCTGAGTTCAAAAAATACTTACTCCACTGGATTTTTTCGACCTCGCTGCATCCACGCAATTACTGGACAGAAAACCCAATAAGAATGCAAGAAGGACGATTGAAATCAGGAGACCATTTCTGCCTCGAGACAGCCTCGAAACGAGGAACATCTTCGCCAAAAAAAAAAATTTAGAACACGGACATTCGGATTAAAAGAACAGGTTCGAATTTCCAGAAATAAGGAGAAGACGACACCGTTATTAAACCTTGTTGAGAATTTTCTTTGACAGATTAACTAGAAAAAAAGCCGGGGTCAGATTGAAGGAAATCAGTTAACAAACTTTTCAGGTCTTTTGAAAGTTTCCCTGGCTGAAAGACTTTCATACATTTTCCGCAGGACATGAGGCACATCGCAGGTTTTTTGATTCTCTTCTTGTTTCTTGCTAATTTTTTTTTTTTTTTGCACTGGCATTGAAACTTGCTGAACGAGAAAAAGGAATCTGGAGCACATATTTTTGCTGAACTGGCATCAGAAATGGTGTCACTGCCTTTCTACGTTCAAATGCGGCCAGGATGACTTTAGTTTCCGTCCACCGAGTTTTGAAGAATTTCTCACGACTTTCTTCACTTTTTTTTTATTCCGGGGAAATATTTTGTATTTTACATGCGCATGGAATCGACCCAGATTTGACAATGATTTGACAAATAACTTTTTTCGAAGAGCTGTAACCTGAAACTCGTGCGACCCCCAAATTTTTGGCAGTCAAGTCAGTCAGTTCGTCGAAAACTCTTGCGGTCCTCGAAATGTTTTCGCTGAAAAAAGTTGCCTGTCTTGCGATTTTCGTAAGTTAAAAAAAAAATTCAAAATTATCGAAGAGTTTTCAGGTTGAACTCAAGAGTTGGGTCTTTTTCCAGGTGCTTTTACAAGTGTTGCTTGTGCAATCCTTGAAAGACGAACAACCGAGGGCGAATACATCAACCGGAAATGCATCAACATCAATAAACATCACTACTTTGAATGTTTCGAGCAGTGACAGTTTTGTAGTTTACATAAACAACGGAACTGTGTTTCAAGACGAAGAATCTGCCTCGAACAAAACAATGCTGCCCTGGGCAAACGATGAGGAAAACGTCATTGAAATCGACCTCGGACCCGAATATCAAATGAAAAGTAAGCGTCAAACATAGTCTCGAATCAATAATTGGTTTCTGAGCACAAAAAAGTTGCATTTAATAGCATTTTTAAAAACCGATTTTGTTTTCAAATGCTTTGATTTGCTTAAGAGGAATTATATTTCGCAGATGGCGACAAAATTGCAAGGAGGGCAAGGGGATTGTTGACTTGGTTTTCGAGGCTTTTCGAAGGCAAAGGAGATCCTCCTCCAGAGAAACAATACTTGATTCCAGACAAGAAAAGTGTCCCTCTGAGAGCCAAAGTCACTCTGCATCCTTCTGAGGAATGGACCAATCTCATGATGTCCTTCCATCCTTCACTCACTCAGCGGGCTCCAAATGACTCCCTAAGTAAGCTGAAAAACCTCTAATTAAATTTTAAATATTTCTAACAGCTTAAAAATATGTTGTAATTGATGCAAGAAAGCAACCCAAATTTGAGAATGATTTGAAAACTGTTTAAAAAAAAGTGTAGAAGTGCAGTATGTTAGGATCAGTCAATTCAAATCAGGTTGGACAATCCTTTCTCCAATTGGCCACCAGGAATAGTGTTGTGTTTTATGTATTAGTTTAAAATGTGAAGCATTATCATCATTCTCTGAAGATTTTTCTGCACTCAAGTTCAGTATAATGCAATGATTATAAGGAAATAGTGTTGACATCAAGTCCTGCATCCCAGTGAACACAAAGTTCTCCATAACATGTCCAGAACTCATCCAAATGAATGGACATGTCCTCATATTATCCAAAAGATGTCCATGGATATCCTGCACAGGACTTCCTCTGACATCTTTGGAGAACTTGTCCAAAAATGTTTGCTCTGGTGGACAAATTTGGACAAAACTCAATTAAAAAAATTGTCCAAAACATGTCCATTTCTGGCAAGATTCTCAGATAAGTTGGTTTGGATGAGTTTTGGGCCAAAAACAGACAATACTACATCTTGCTCACTGGGATATGAACAGAAGGGCAGATGACCTCTATTAGTGTGATAGTGAACACAACAAAAGATATTCCTTGCAAAAATTATAAGTTATAAAACCATGCAGGACTTCAATTTAAGATTTAAAATGTAAGAAACTCAAATTTTTTATCAATAAAACAAAGTACAGAGTCGGTTCTTCACTTCTTCTATATTAATGTATTACAAAAGGACCTATACAATTATGAACTCTTGAAAATTTTTAACACTTTAAAACATGAATGAGAGTCAAATTATTTCCTGCTCTGGTGGCTCACACAAAAGAGTATAGCTTTTTTGGTTGCAATTTTTAATACAGTACTTTATTTACTCGAGTACCACACGCCTGCAAGCAAAACAGGCACCTGGATTTTTTGTCTGAAATTTTGATTAAATCTCATTATCAAGTAAGATATGCACCCCATCTTAAGTGACAGAAAAATTGCAATATTTCAAGAAAAAGACAAGCCAGACTAAATTTTGACATAAATTGAGCATAAATGAATTATTTTGTAATTGTTTCCAAAAACATTTTTCTTCCTTTCAAGTTTCTTTCTTAATTTCTTACTTTCAAGTTTGAGAAACATGTGTGCACCATGATACTACAGCAAATGAAGTCAATTTATTTTCAGTTCTTTGCAGCAGGGAAGTACGTGCAGCTATGAATTTACTCAGCTGATGATTTCAATTTTTGTTGTTTTGTAGCCATAGAACAAACAAAGCCAATTGATGTTCCAAAAGAGCACTACCCTGTGGACATTGAAATACCAACCATACCCTGGTATCCTCCATATTACTACCCTCAACCACCACCTCCAGGCTATGAATACCATACCCAACAGCACATTATTGGGATCCCACAACAACCCAATTCTGGAAACTTTGTCAAAGAATCCAGTTTCTCAGAGACCAAATCCAACAGTCAAAATCAAGGAAATGTACAATGGAATGCATTCTCTCACATTCAAGACCAGGCTGGAGGGTATGAACAAAGCTGGGGTGGACAACCACTAAACAAAGGCAATGTTGAACCAGACAATTCAATTCAGAATGGCAACTTTCATAATCATCAAAATGCTGCTGGTCATCATTCTGGGGCCAATTATGGGTACAGGTAATCTTTGCAAAGACAAGCAGCAATCAATTTACTAACTTACTATTTTCTTTTGACAATCTTTCCAGTCCACCCAGCCACCCTCACAGGATTGCTCAGAAAAGAGCCTCTGGAACTGATGGAAGAGCATCAGGGCCCCTCAGTCAACATGATTTCCAGCATTTCCATGTCCCAATTCCCGTGAATGCCAATGGTCAAAGTTCTCAAAAAATCAGATTCCACCTTCCACCGGGTCTTGATAAAGACAAAGTGCTTATTCATGTTTATCCAGTCAATCATGCCACAGGTGAATACAAAATTTAGTTTGGGACCACATACAGTCAACCCCTGCACAGTAGACTTAATTTGTGCAACAGACTATTCTGTTGTGTAAAAAGTCTGTTATGCAAATTCATCGGCTCAACTGTTAACATTTTTACTTTTTATTATTAATTTTAAACCAATATAAGTCCATTTGGTGGATTTTGTCTGTTGTATGTGGGAGGAAAAACTGCCTCCACAGGAAGCAGACCATTATATAGGCAAACATCCCTTATAGGTGGGAGGTCTGTTAGGTGGGGGGTTGACTGTACATTCTTCACCTTACAGGCACATCTATTCTTTGAACAGAGTAGGGAATATGCATGTCCCATGGATATGAAAATTTTGACAGTTTTTTTAAAGGAATTGTTACCTTGATTTCATCTTTAAAATGGAAGGAGCATGGGGTAGGTGATGCACCAATATGGATCTTTGGATAAAGATTCAACCAATTACTGTACACTAAAAGACTATTCATGACTTGGTGTAACCAAATGTGACAAGAAGTTGGGCACAATTCAAATATACAATAGCATGGCCCTGTGGGGCAACCCTTGAGTTTAGAAGCCAGTTTTTTCTCTTTACATTTTGAATGACAAAATTTCTCATTTCAACCCATGGGAAACCATTTCCTGGAGGATACTAATAAGGGAAATCATTCAAAAGTTATTGACATGGGATTTCAGTTAATTGATTCCAGCATAAAATTATTTCAAAGTACAGTAAAGTAAAAAATGAACAGGAAACTTGCAAGAACAGGCAAGAGCAAAAAGAAAGCAATAGTTAACAACTATTTCCAGCTGAATATTATTGGCATCAGCAAGACTAGAAGCACATACATATGGAATATATATTTGTAACCTCAATTTGGTTTCTCATTTGGGAATATTGTACAATGTCATACAATAGTGACATTTTTAGAATTACCATCATCTTTGAATAAAACATTCATGTGTACATTTTTTTTTTCAAATTGAGGTTTCATTGTTCTTCAAGTCAAGACTATAGTTTTAGAGGACAAACTGGGTATTGCTTACAAATCTTCAAAAGGCTTTATAAAGAATTTAGTCTCAGCTTTGTGTTGCACAGTCATACCTCATGGTACAAAACCTTTGCATGAAGAACACTTTGTGAATGAATGAATGAACAGAACATTTTGTAGAATGAAGATTTTCAGAGCAATTTTATAGCCTTGTATTATATGAACAAAGTTTTTCTAATGAACACATCTGTTCTTTAGCAAAATGAGAAAATTTGTTTTTCAATCAATAGGAATGCGGTTTTTATAAGGAAAAATTCGTAAAAAGAACATAATCTATGCTTGTACCAATTTCGTTTTTACTATGAGCTGTACAACTGTACTTTTTTATATATAGGGGCACAAGGAGTGTTTCCTCAGCAAAGAGCCAACCCTGGACCAACTGGTGCAGAAAAAAGAATCGACCTGCCTGGTGAACACAGGTCTGAAGAAACCCCCATCATCAGGAGCCAGAATAAGAAGGGACCCTTCATTCAAGATGAGGAATACCTTGAGAGGCTTCTTGCACCAACTTTCAGGAATCAGGCCCCTCAGCAACACATCCTTGTTCCCAGGGGTCCAGTTGGTGAAGAGATGGAAGCCAGGATCCTGGCACAAAGACAAATAATACAGAGTCCTCCTCAAGTGCCTTCAAATTTCCAAAACATCCAGGGCACTTTGCCAACCCAACAGTCAAACCTGGGGCTGAATTTCGGAGTGCCGAATTTGGAAGGCGGGTTCGAGCCCACGCAAAACTTTGACCACATTTTCCCTCATTCCTTCCAACAGAATCA